AAATTTTAATACGAGTATCACTGTATTAGAACCTAGGATAAACACTATATTTGTGTTAAAACTCAATTTTATTAACTAGAATAAACATCAAATATTAAAAATAGAAAATATCTCTTGATACATCGATGCAATATAAGAGCATATATATCAAATATTGCCTGATCTACCAAAAGCTAATCTAAAAGATACAGATACGTTAGAAACGATACGATAAAAAGACGTGTAACGAGAAGACGAATTATTTCTTAGTTTCTTAATACAAGCCGCCACGTTCGAAACCGCTATGTCGTCGTCATAGCTTGTCCGCTCGCGTTACCGTCGGCCAATTTACACGCAGTTCCCTGCACACAAGACTGCAATTGCACCTGAAGTTTAAGCATATTCAAGAACGGTTATACGGTTATTGGACACCGTTTAACGTTTCCATTTGCGTTGCGCTCGAGTCGGCGAGTTTACGCTCGAGATGTTATTGAATTTCTTTTCGAATTAACTCGATCTGAACTTGGCAATCAACCCCGGCGTCCCGCGATTGTCCCCCCCCCCTCCCACCCACCCCGCGGATCTCTATCCGGCGCTTTTTATTTCCGTTCGAACGCGAACTTTTAATTACTCCGTACTGGGCGACGAGCGAGATAATTAATTTCAATTATAAACACGGCGTGATCCCGTTCGCCAGTGAGAGAAAGATATAAAAAAAATTTGGGTTATAAAAGGTTATTAACTAGCAGGCTGGCGTATAAATAACTAGCTAGAAGGGACACGAACTACGCGTCATCCGTTTAGTAGAGCATCCGGGATCAGTAACGCGTGATCGGTAATCTCGCACCCTATTATGCATCGATTAATTTATTACGTGGAAGATTAAATTCTCGTCGAAGCGTTTCCCCTTGTGATCCCGATAGGCAAACAATATTTATACGTGTCGCCAAGCCATTTGACAAACAAATTTTATATAAACGTCAACGCAGTCAGGAATCTTCTTTCGCTAGTTTCTTCTTATTGATCGACGCAAACTTTGCGCAACGATTTGAAATAAAGAAATTTGAATCGATCAGACGGTGTAAGCGAATTAACTACTTTACAAGTTCCTCTGTGGAGCTTATTTCAATGCTAGAGTATTAGAGCAGACAGGGACAGTCATTCTAAACAGAAAAAGAACAATTTTCGTACGTGTAACATCGTAATGAGACGTGATCATCGTCTCTCCTTTCTCGCGTCTCCGGCTTCACGAGGCAGCTTCAGCCTCGCTGCCTCGGCCGCTCGATTTGCATTTCAATTTACAACTACGTGTTCCCCGGTCCGGTTTCGGAATAAACAGCAATTTCGCGCGAACGCTCGATGGATCGTAAAGTACGACGACGTTTAATAATCGGCGTGGCAAAGAGCAAGGTCGACGTTGCACGAGGTCGGGAATTCCGCGGAGACAGAGAGGGTAAGTCACCCTCAGAGTTCTCTCGACCGAGTGTTCCGCGCCAGCTACTCGGAAGCGGAAGCTCGGAGGACCGAGTCCCCTGAATTATGGCTGTTTTCCAGCGACTTGCCTTTTCGAAAACCCCTCGGCCGCTCGCAGTCCCGCCTTTCTACCTGAGATTTCTACGGCGAGGCTTTTAAAGTGGAACGAATGGCGACGCCGTTCCATTTTCCTTTTCACGTGGTGCACGCCCCTTCACGTCCTCGAACGAACGCATCCCCCTCTGTACACGATGTTCCAGTAAGCGTGGCATAATTGGCAAAGGAGCGAAAAAACAAATGGAAAAGCGCAGTGTGAACTTTTTTTTTTTTTCTTTTATAGAACGCTCTGTTTCAAATTCGTAATTCACAATTCAGTCTACTCTCCTTACAGTGTAAACTAATTGATTTCGAAGTCTTAGGAGAGTTCCCATTTTTCATAAAACTTTGATACTTAATGCAGACTGTGTATCATGATAAAATTGTACATATGTTTAAATTGGCCAAAAAATAATTGTTTTTTTTTTTGTAAATAGATAAATGTATATCTAATTTCAGTTTAAACCTCAAATTCATTGCGTAACCTGATTGTTCAAGCTTGTTTTAGGAAAGTCACAAAGGAACATTTTCGTCATATTTTGTTGCACTACTTTCGAAAAGGAAGAAACAAACGTTGTAAAAATTATTCGATGGCGAAGAAGTCTTAAAAATTATCTCTGTCAGTGTCATTGGTTATAACTTTCTTTTGGCAAAAAAAAAAAAAAAA